AGTTCACATCGTGGAAGCACTTCCCAGCATACAGCACAGAGAAGCCTTCTGTTATACCAATCTCCTTGCATGTGCTTTTTGGACTGAATCTCTCCAATCTTCTCTACAAGAATGGAAACTGGAATGGCTCCAAAAAACAAAAAGAAGGTAAATATTGGAGTATTTTCAAGTTAAAGTGGTTTGGTTGGGTTTTTTTTAATTCACAAACTTGGGGAGAATTTAGGGAGGGTGGTTATTGGTTGTAGTGCTTTGTTTTTAAATAAAGAAAATTTGAAATTAACAGCTTCTCTCTCTCTCCTCTTCTCTCTCTCTCTCTCTCTCTCTCTTCTCTCTCTTCTCTCCTCTCTCTCTCTCTCTCCTCTTCTCTCTCTCTCTCTCTCTCTCCCTCTCTCCCTCTCTCCTCTCCTTCTCTCTCTCCTCTTCTCTCTCTTCTCTCTTCTCTCTCTCTTTCTCTCTCTTCTCTTCTCTCTCCTCTTCTCTCTCTCTTCTCTCTTCTCTCTCTCTCTTTCTCTCTCTTCTCTTCTCTCTCTCCTCTTCTCTCTCTCTCCCTCTCTCTCCCTCTCTCCCTCTCCCTCTCCTTCTCCCTCTCCCTCTCCCTCTCCTCCTCTCCCTCTCTCTCCTCCTCTCCTTCTCTCTCTCTCTCTTCTCTCTCCTCTTTCTCTCTTCTCTCTCTCTCCTCTTCCCTTCTGTCTCTCCTCTCCTTCTCTCTCTCTCTCTCTCCCTCTCTCCCTCTCCTCTCCCTCTCCCTCTCCCTCTCCCTCTCCCTCTCTCTCTCTCTCTCTCTCTCTCTCTCCCTCTCTCCCTCTCTCCCTCTCTCCTCTCCTTCTCTCTCTCCTCTTCTCTCTTTCTCTCTCTCCTCTTCTCTCTCTCTTTCTCTCTCTTCTCTCTCTCTCCTCTTCTCTCTCTCCTTCTCTCTCTTCTCTTCTCTCTCTCCTCTTCCCTTCTGTCTCTCCTCTTCTCTTCTCTCTCTCTCTCTCTTTCTCTCTCTCCTCTTCTCTCTCTGAATAGAAATCTATAGGAAAACTGACAACATGCAATATTTATTTTCTTAGTGCCTCTTTCCAGGTCTAATGACATTTTGTTGGTTTAAGAACATGTATGACATACACAGCTTGGCCCACTCACAAACTTAACACATTTGAGAAAGAAATATGAAGGCCTAGGGAAAAAAAGTCCAAAAAAAATTCAAGAAAAGCCGATTCCTTCCCACCTTTTTTCCTTTTCCCCCTATTTCTGAGAGAAACACACACAAAAAAAGGAAAAAATTCTCCCTAAAACCTTTCAGCTCCTTTCCAGGTGGTCCCTTGTCTATGTGGGCCTCTTAAACCCAGGAGAGCTTGGAATTAAGAGAAGCTTCAGATGAATTCTGAGACCAGGTATGCCAATAGAGAGGTGGGCTTGAGAGGAAACTGAGTTCCCAGAAGAAAGGTGAGGGAAAAGGAAGTTGTTAAGACTGCACTCCACTGGCTTTAAACCAGAGTAAAAAGCCAGCTAAGGGTAACAGTCTCAGGGGCATTCACAGAGTTGCTATTTGCCCTTTCCTAAGTCTCTACCTCAGAATTTTACTCTCTCCTCCAGTATGGTCAGTCTCATAAAAGGGCCACCTGCCTGAAATACGGAGATCTGAGTCTAAGCTGGCTCCTTTCTCACTGGGCATGACCCTGGGGGCAGATCTCTTAAGCAATGTGGGCTTCAGTTTTCTCATCTGTACAATGGGATTAACATTATACCATTTCCCATAAAGGCTATCATGAGAAAAGTGCTTTGTAAAATCTTACTGAACTATAGAAGTGGAGTGATTATTATTATCCTATAAAATTAACCTCAGGAGAAGACCGGCCACTCGGGCTCCCCATTTGCCCACCAAACCCTGGCCAGTGCCAGCAGCTCAAAGAAAGGAGTGTCTCATGCCAGGCCCAGTGACACTGAATAACTCCCTCCTGAGCAGCGAGGTTTGAATTCCAACCCCGAAACTCCCACCCATTCCCCTCCCCCCATAGAGGGGGCTTCTCTTGGACTGGGCACTGGACAGGACTTTGGTGGGCTTCCCAACTGGCCCGTAATGAGAGAGGGCACAAGGGACGAACTAGATCAAAGAAGATGAAAGAGAAATCAAAGTCCAAATCTCAGTGCCAATTCGGGGTGGGGGGGTGGGAGTGGGGAAGGGGGATTAACCCATTCCCTTCCAAAGGAATATCAATTCCCCTAAGCCAAGACACCAGGGCAAACCCCTTGCCCCGTCTGGGTGGCGCGGATCCCAAACTTGTGGGCAGCCCCCACCCACCAGACTAGTCCCTCCCTGGGCAGGAAGGAGGGGGCAGGGATGTGTGTGGCATTGGGCCGAGCCTGGGCCATCCTGCTGGACCTGCTGCAGCCCGACCCAAACATTGCCATATACGGTCACTCAAGGCGCAGGAAGGGCTTGGAAACCGCCGCTCCAATTGGAGGGGACTCTGAACCACCAGCCAGGAAACGGTGGGGTACGAGAGGAGGGAGGGGGGTGAGCTAACACTAATCCATCCCCCGGACCCCAGGAAAAGAGACGGGGAAAACCATGGGGATGCCAGCCAGTGTCCAGCTCTTCTCCCCAGCTATGCCTCCCAGGAGCCTCCAAGCCAAACCTGGTAACCAGTCCTCTGACCCAGCAAATTGCAAACCCCTTTTGCTTCCAGGACACATATACCATTGGGACACACACTGCCAGTTCTCAAAAGAGATTTCTTCCCACCCCTAAAAATACCCCATGTGAGCCTTTCTCCAGCCAGGGTCACTCAATGAGGCCCTCCCTCATACCCCAATAGCAGCAGACCTCTGCTATAACACTGGGGATTGTAATAACAGCTCCAAATAAGATGTGGCCCCAACCATGCCAACAGGTCAAAACCTACTACTTCATAGCTCCAGATATGGCCTCAGACAAATCATATTATTACATGCTTCGATCAGATCAAAGTTACAGATACAGACATGTCACTGGTCTCCCAACTCGTGCAGGGGAACAGCTTGCTTTCCCTATGACCGTCATCACCTTTCCAACTTTCTGAAACACATTCTCCCCGATGGGCTATGAAACCAGCACACAGGAGCAGGAAATAGTTTCCCTGCTGTCCAATGGGCTCAGTCTGTGGAATGAGCATGACTTGTGTCTCCATTTCCAATAACAACACCTATCCTCTGTGCCGAGGAGCTATTTCCCCCTCCTCCCCTAGGGATAAAATGAAAAAGACATGTTATGTTAACCTCCACCCTCCTATCTGTGTTTGTGTGGCCCTAGAAGCCAGGACTCAGCGGGTGCGTTCCCTTGCTTTCTCTCTGAATATACATGATATTTTTATCTTTTGGAGAAAGAACTGCAATTTTCATCCATGAGGTCTTCACGCAACCCTGGCCAACTTCCGCTATAGTGAGTTTTTCCTTCCCTTGGGCTCCAGAATCACTTGGAACACTCCAGTTCTCCCATTGCTGCCTCTTTACCAGGTTCACCTCTGTCAGCCACTCACTGTAACTCAGACATCCACATCCTCCCTAAACCAGATGAGCCCAAGACCCAAAAAGACTGAAGAATCCAGCCCAGAGCAGAGAGAGAATATCAGGCAAGGAAGATGAAAAATAAGTCTATTCTGTGGGCCCCAACCCACAGTGACTTGAGGGCTGAACTTCTCCCCAATGCAGTCCATCCCTCCCCCAAGGGCCCTTGGGACCAGCTGCAAGAATGATATACATCCATGAGGTCACTTTCTTCCCCCCATTCCCCACAATGGAGGCAGGCCCCATCCAGACTAGAATCCAGACTTCTCAGACTGCCTCCTTGTATGCCTCAATGCTGCTTTCCCCTTCAGTCATCTCCCAGATGCCTGGTCTTCATGGCCCTCTGGCCTCTGAGGAGGCTGAGCCTTAGACCTCTTGCTGCCAGAAATGAAGTGGGTTTTTGCAAGCCCATGGGTTTCTAGGATGATACTAGCTGGTCTAAATGATCAGCTACCCAAGCAAAAGGCCACGAGAGAAATAAGTACTGAATGGCTAATCCATGCCACCCTTATTTCTTCATCCTGTGTGGGTAGAGGTAGTGGGGTGGGGAATGGGGCTGCCATCCTGACTCACTTAACTGAAATAGAGAGCCCTCCCCTTCTGCAAAGTGAAGGTAGCCCCCCCAGAGTAGGCCACTGCTTCCTCCAGCTCTTTCTCCTTTAGGGGGCTGGGCTCCCATTGGCCACCTCCCCGTTCAGGGCTGGGGATCATTTTTGTCATTGTTGTTTTTTGTTGTTGTTTTTTAACTCTTGTCTTGGGGGTAGGTTGGCAGGGTCACCTGCTTATTGAAATCTGAGTGCCTGGCCTGGGGTGACCAGAGCTCAAATATGCAGTAGCTGTTGAGGACTGTCACAGGTCTGTCAGCTGGGACAGGCCAGGGATGTGTTTGTTCGGCCAGCTACTGGGAAGACACGAGGGGAGGCCTGGCAGGGAGGGGAAGAGGGGGATAGGGAGGCCCTGCCAGGCAGCCAGGAATGCTATTGTTTGCTTTCAACCATGACACCCAAAATCTGGAAGCTGCTTAACCAACGCTTCTCCCCTATCCCTCACTAAACAGTCATTCCCTAGAACTCACCTGTAGCTATAGTTTTCTCTTAAAAAAGAAAAAGAAAAAGAAAGGAAAAAGAAAAAGTATTCCAAAAAAAAAAGAGAGAGAGAAAACTAGTTTGTCTTAATTAGTGATGTCACACCCTACAGCCCAGAGCCAGGTGGGAAAATGTGTGTAAGCAAGAACACGGCCTGCTTTTATGCATCAGTGCACAAATCTATATGCCTGCAGTGGGAATGCAGAACCAATCCAGGGAGAGACAGAGACAGAGAGACAGACAGAAACAGAGAGAAAGAGAGACATTTCAGACTTTTGGAAAGAAAATCCAGTTTATGTACAGACAATCAAATAACTAGATAAGCCACCAGCAAGCAGCTGGGAAGAGCCAAAAATTGCCTGCCTCCTGGGAGCTCAGTCTACTCACCTCGGGCAGAATCAGACATCGAGAAAATCCCCAAGAAGACCAACACAAACCAAAATTCCATCTCTGGGCTTAGGTCCTCCTCATGTACAAATGTTCTGTGGCCTCAAAACCTGGAGAAAAGAAAAGGTGGGGAGGAGAAGGGAGAACAGAGAACAGAGAACTCAACATCTTCAATCCTCCAGACCGAGAGTGAATCAAACACTGCAAAACAAAGACCCAAGCCATGACTCCCCCCTAACATCCACATCTCATCTTCTCCCGATCTCTCTCCCCTCCACAGCTTGCTCTGCCCTAAATCTGGGCTTTCACTGACTATCAATCCCAGGTCCCTAAGAATGAAGGCTTCTCCACTTACAAGGGGGCAGACAGGCAGGCCCAGGTCTCTCCTCCGGCCAGGCTTTAAAAAAAAAAAAGTTGACAAGTTCTCAAGCCCAACCAAAAAAAAAAAAGAAAAAATCAACCAGCCCCAGAAGCAGTAATAGATCAAGGAAGTCTTGTGAGAAAGCCTAGGAGCAAAACTGAAGAACTAAGTCTTCCCATTCATCTTGGGTCGAAATGTTCTGCCCAGGGAAGTACTATGGAGCCCCCTGCGCAGGCTGGCTCCCGGCTGCATTATCTGAAGGTTGAATTATTCTTAGCAGCCGCTTGCTGCCTCGCCTCGCCTCCCCTTAACCCCCCCTCCCATTATTTAAAGTTGCACTTGCTGCTGGCTCCTGTCAGAAAGGAAGTTGGGCTCCTGTTTCTTCCAGAGAAAGAAAGAATAGGAAAAGGGAGATGGGGGGGGGGAAATCTTTCTAGGTATCAAAGCCAGACAAAGGGTTTACATTAATTACACTCTGCTCGGCTCCTCTACCTCTCACTCTCTAAACACTGTCTGAATTCCTGGCCCTTGTAAACTCCCAGTTGTAAGCACTTCGTGCCCTGGGGACACACAACACGAAGGCAGCCCGTCCAACTACGAGAAGAATCGCACCCGGCCATTAGCTTACAAATTTGCACCAGAAGTTCTTGAACGTGGAGAAAAAGACATGGGGGGTGGGGTGGAGGGAGGGGGGGATATTGGGAGGCTCTGCCCCCAGGCTAGGGGCAGACCTAGCCCACATGGGGGGAGGGAGCAAAAGGAGGGGGTGCAAGAGATGTACAAGGTTTCTAGTCATTGGACAGGGGAGAAAGGGTGAGTTTGAAAGCGTGGGTAAAGAAAAGTACCGTGGAGATCACTAAGCCTGGGGAGGACAGGCTGGCTCAGTGTGACCCCTGGATCTGTGAGGAAAATGGAAAGACTCCCTCCCCCTGCCCTCAACACTCACTTTCTCTCTCTCTCTCTGTCTCTGTCTCTCTCTCTCTCTCTCTCTCTCTCTCTCTCTCTCTCTCTCTCTCTCTCTCACACACACACACACACACACACACACACCACACACACACACACACACACACACACCACACACACACACACACACACACACACACACACACCAGGAGACACCCTAGTCTCTTAAAAAAGCTGTTACTGGGAGAGTCAGGACCAGATCCTAAACAGCAAGAAAGCCTGGGAAGAGCCCCTAAAGAGGTCACGGTTACAGCCCCCAGACCATACCCTCAAGGGGAACTGCTACCCTTCCAGAAATACTCCCCAACTCAAGAAACGACCACTGACCACGGCTGGGTTTTTTTTTTTACAAAGATTGTGTTATCACCCACGTACATCGCTCCCTCCCAGCCCCCATAACTAGACAGCGAATTTGAGTTGATCACATCTAAGGGAGAAGGGGACCGAGGTAGATATTTTCAAGTTTCCTATTATGGTTGGGGGCTGAAGCTGGGAGTCAAAAGTGGCTCGGGGGCAAAAAAGGGGTGCAGACTTTGCATTTTCCCAAAGTAAGGCGTTCGTTTGCCCAGGACCTCTTCCCTGCTGGCTCAGGGAATCGCTGCCCCACTGGGCTCCCTGGTCTTTCCCAGTTCCCTTGCCCAGAACCACCTGCCATCAGCCAAGGCCTGAGCTGCTCAGCTGTGTGGTAAGAATCGAGGGTCTCCAGTGATTAGGAAGGGAAGTAGCTGGGGAGAACCCAGAGATCACTGACTAAGACAAGGGTCTTCGTAGAGTATGGAAAAAAGGAACCCCTCACCCCTACTGACCAAAGGAGACCTCACTAAGAATCAAAACCCTCACGAAGCAGAGGAATCCTGCGAGCATCGGAAGCCCCCATTCACCAAGGAGAACCTCTGCTTAGGGGTCCAGGGGAGAACCAGGAATCCCTTCCCATTGACAAGAGGGCACCTGCCTGGGCTGGAGAATGAACGAGAGCCTCCCCCTGGTCCACAGACTGCCTGGGACAGCGGAGAATCGAGAAGTCCCACTGATCGGGGGAACCGGACCTGCTTGGGATAGGGGAACACAGGGAGCTCCCACGGACTACAGGAGGGATCAATCTGCCCGGGATCGGGGCAATCCCCAGAGCCGGGGAACGCGGATGGGGGTGGGGGTTAGGGACTCACCTCAAGCTGCTGGGACGCCCGCTCCGCTGCTCACAGACTCCCGCCGGGGTGTCCGTCCCGGTTCATTCCTAGGGCTTCCTCCCACCCTTCTCGCAGTAAATCCAGCCTCCTCAGTCTCTCCCTGCGGGCAGTAAGCTCCTCATTGTAGCCTCAGTCCTTCCGCCCTCCCGAGCTGGGCTAAGGCAGGCGGGGCGAGCAAAGGAGGGCGGGCGACGCAGCGCGGGCACTACCTGGCGTACTCGGTCCGCTCGCTTGCCCGCCGGCCTGCCTGCCTTTCCCTCCCGCGGGGCCCTGGCCAGGGCTGGGGTCGGGTCCGAGGGGGCGGGGGCAGCAGGCGGCGGGAGCCCAGCTCCTCCCCGGCGGGGGGTGGGGACGGGACGGGGCGGGGCTGGGCAGGCGGAGGGCAGGAGCCCCCAGGGCGCGCCCAGAGATACCTGCGGCGGCCGCGCCCGCGGCGCCCCCGGCCAGACCCGAGGCTCTCGGAGGACCACAGGCACCGCACTGCGCGGGGGCCTCACCGCCCGGAGGGCGCCGACTAAGTGGAAGAGCTCGCGGATGGGCGGGGGAGGCTCCCCGGGGCCGCAGGACACGCACGCACGCACGCACCGGCCACCCTGCCCTGCCCAGCCCTGCCCAGCCGCCGGGCCCGGCTCCCCGACGCAGCTGGCCCCGGGACGGATGTGGCGGGGATGCCCGCGCGGAGTCGGGGTTGGGCGGGGGGAGGGTGAGGGGTCCGGCAGCGCCGAAAAAGGAGAAGAGGAGAGCTCAGGGTTCCGAGCCCTAGAGAGGGGGGCCAGGCCGGGCCGGGGAGCGCAGGGCAGACGTGGGGAGAAAGTAGGGAAAAGTTGGAGGCGCGCAGCCGGCGAGAAGCAACCTTCCCCGCGGGGCTTTGTGGCTCTGGCGGAGCGCGACCCGGCCCCGGCGCCCGCCCTGCTCCGCCCCGCTACAAAACTTTCCACCAATCGGAAGACGCCGCCCCTCCCCTCTTTCTCTCGGACTCTCCCAGTCCTCCCTCCCGCAGGTTAACCCTTATAGAGCGGGGCGGGCAGTGCTGCAGGTCCCCCCAGTGCAGCGCAAAGGCGCAGGTCACCCCCTGCTGCCCGGAGCTGGCCATAGCTCCCTCCCAGATTCTGTCAGCCAGAGCGCACAGGAGGAGGAGGAAGAGGAGGAGGAAAATGGGGGAAGAGGAGAAAGTTTGGAAAGTACACTAGCTCCGCCAGTTAATTTAAGTACTACTGGTGTGACTTTGGGAAAGTTCTTTCTCTGTCCAGGCCTCAGTTTCCCTGCCTATGAAATGATGGATTTGGATTAAATGACTTCTGTGGTGCTTTCTGATTCAAAATCCTATCACAGAGAATTGGATAGTAAGAAAAGAAAGGAAAAGAGGATAATATAGCACTTTAAGACTTGCAAAGTCCCGTACATATATCTCTCAACAACCCAATGAGGGTAGAAAGTTCTGTTGCTTAAGTATTATTATTATAACTCCTTTTTACAGATGAGGAAATTGAGATTCACAGAGATTCCTTGACTTGCTCATGGTTTCCTAGCTAGTAAATGGCAGGGGATGGCTTTAGATTGTCTCTAACTCAAGGCCAGCACTCTTCATTCTATATCAGCAAACTCAAAGTGTGATTCTAGGTCTTCCAGGTCAAAACTAATTTCATCACAATTCTGGGATATCATCTGCCTATTGAAATATTCCCTTTTCCAACTACATATCACATAGATATGTGAGACCAGATTTCTTTATTGCAACTAAAACACATAGCAACAGATTGAACATAGAAGCAAATATGATAACCTAGTAAGCCAGATATTAAAGAGATTTGCAAAAATATATAAAACAATGCCACTCCTCTCATTAAATTGTTTTGGAAAATATAATTATTTTTCATATAAATATGTTCTTTATGTTAACAGTCTTATTTTAAATGAGTATTTTGGAAATTTATCAGTTTTCATATTAATGTGGTAAACTATCCATAGATATAACCCACATAAACAAAAGCCCTCTCAGGTCCTCAGTAATTGAGTATGAAAGGAGTCCTGAGATCAAATTGACAGGGTAGCTGCACTATACCATGCAGTCTTTTTTTTTTTTTGGTGAGGCAATTGGGGTTAAGTGACTTGCCCACAGTCACTCAGCTAGTAAGTGTCAAGTGTCTGAGGCCGGATTTGAATTCAGGTCCTCCCCGACTCCAAGGCTGGAGCTCAAACCACTGCACCACCTAGCTGCCCCAACTATGCAATCTTTATGGGGGAGAAGCCTGGATCTGAGACTTTCCACTCAGCCCCAATGAATGACCCCAAGAGTTTTTCTCTGCCCCCCAATCCTGAATCCCTCCTTCCACACTCCCTTCTCCCCAGGGTCTCTCTCCACATACCTCCACTCTCCTGCACAGTGCAGTAGGATAGAAGTAGCAGCGTGGTGGGAGAATCAGGACACCTGAATTGCAGTCTTGGTTCTGACAAATAGTAGCTGAGAGACTGGCTAAATTCCTTCCCCTCTCTGAGCTTAGATTTGCTTCTCTGTAAGAAAGAGACAATTATATCTGATTTACTTCCCCAGGGTTCTTTTGAAATAATCCTTAAAGAATAATATTGGGGCAGCTAAGTGGCACAGTGGATAGAGTTCCAGCCTTGGAGGCAGGAGGACCTGAGTTCAAATCTGGCCTCAGACACTTGACACTTACTAGCTATGTGACCCTGGACAAGTCACTTAACCCCAATTGCCTTAGCAAAAATAATAATAATAATAATAATACTGGAGCTATTATTATGATGAAGCCCTGGGACTTCAACATCATTTATGCAAATGATATGTAAATGACCTTGTTTATGCAAATATTCATGCTTCAACCCCCCTGTGGCCTGATGTCTAAGAAGAGCCTTGTGGGATGCACATACTGATGGGGAAAAGAATGTCCAGAAAGCAGTTTAAGCCAGGAGGCAGAAACTGAGGTATGATGGAAGGGACGCTGAATTTGGAGTCCGAAGAGCTGAGTTCATATCTCTATGTGACTTTAGGAAAGGGGGAAGGGAAGGAGCATTTATTAAGTACCTATTATTTACCAGGCACTATGCTAAGCACATTACAAATATTTCACTTGATGCTCACGACAATCCTGGGAAGTAGGTGCTATTACTATCCCCATCTACCAGTTGAGGATACTGAGGCAGTTAGAGGTCAAGTGACCTACACAGTGTCACCCAGCCATGAAGTGTCTGAGGTCATATTTGAATCCAGGCCCAGCCCTCTCTAATCTATCGCACAACTCATATCACTCAATATCCTTGGGCCTTGGTTTCTTCCTCTGTAAAATGGGAGTGTTGACATAGATGGCCTCTGAGGTAGCTTCCCAGCTCTATGAACTTCTGTGGACTGGCAAGGATTTTGTGCTAAAAATCCCTGAGACTCAAATGCATTTGGTCAACCCATAATTACCACCTAGCCACTCCAACCAAAACAAACCACTTACCAGCCCCCCAACAGGGGTGATGCGGTATAATGGAAAGGACACAAGATTTGGAATCAGAGGCCCTGCTCTGAATTGCTACACACTTCACCTCTTTGACCTGCAGTTTCTTCACATAAAATAGAGACAGGAGACCATGTTGAGTTATAGGATCCCTTAAGGTCTCTTTCCGTTCTAAATCCTATAAATACATCCCACAATTCCTCGCCTTGACCCCAAAGTTTCTCTAGCGTTGACAGTTCCCCCCTCCCTTCCCATCCAGCATGTGGGCACATATTGTTTGACTCCTCATGACCCCATTTGGGGTTTTCTTGGCGTAGTTTGCCATTTCTTTCTCCAGCTCATTTGACAGATGAGGAAACTGAGGCAAACAGGGTTAAGTGACTTGCCCAGGGTCATCCAGTTAGGAAGTGTCTGAGAGGCTAGATTAGAACTCAGGAAGATGAGTCTTCCTGACTCCAGATCTGGTACTCTACCCACTGCCACCACCTAGCTGCCCAGATTGTAATCTCGGGTTCCTTGTGAATGATGGTTATTGTTATTCTTATCCTTCAGAATCCAGCTTTGTATTTTAGTTATTGGTAAATGGGTCTAGTCCACAACCACACCCCAACAACTAGACTGTAAGCACACTGAGGGCAGACATTCTGCTTTCTCCTTGCTGTAAGTATATTAGATTTGGAGCTAGAAGGAATTTCAAGAGTAACCTTGTTGGGGCAGCTGGGTGGTGCAGTGGTTAGAGCACAGCCCTGGAGTCAGGAGGGCCCGAGTTCAAATCTGGCCTCAGACACGTAACACTTACTAGCTATGTCACCCTGGGCCAGTCACTTAACACCATTGCCTAACCAAAAAAAAAAAAAAAAGAGTAATCTTGTTGATAACTCCCCTTTTCTTCTCAATGCCCCCAGGCCCAAGATTGACCTTGTAAAGAAGCCTTCCCAGGTGGAAAAGGGACAATCACTCAAAGAACGTGCACACCGCAGATATTTAATCAACTTTTTGTTCAATTGCAATTAATATGAGTAACTGTCGTTCACCCACAGTGTACATCTGGGTCAGTCACCTCAGCCTCTCTGAGCTTCAGTGCCTTGGCTCTAGAAATCCACTTCAGACTTTGGCATTTACATTTCCTGTTCTGCATTGCTTTCAATGTCATGCCCAAAGGAGGTCAATTCTTACTTTATAGTCTCCTTTCACCCCTATACCAAGTCTGATCTCCTTCCAAATGTAGTCACCATGTAATGTTGTATATTGTAGGTCTGTGTGACTGTAGGTGTCTCTTCCCCTACCAGACTGTGAGCTCCCTGAGGGCAGGGATTTAGTCTTATATGAGCTGTATGTCCCCTCCAGAACTGGCTCCAGTGCTCACAATACAGTAGGGACTTCATAAATGTTTATGGAATTGAACTGAGCTGAATCAAAGATCTTGGAGGGTGTGAGAACACATGTCCCCTTTCCAGATTCAAAATTCTATGAAGAGCACCTGGGTCCAAGGGCTGGCTCCACCACTTATCAACATCATCATCATCATCATCATATCAACTTGGTCAAGTCACCTCATCTCTAGGAGCTTTGATTTTTTTTCTCCCATGAAATGAAGATATTAATCCCCAGCCCTGCTTCCCTCTTAGGGCCCTTGTGGGGATTAAATCTGAAGATGGATGCCCAAGTGTGCTAGGAATATGTGCGTTACTACAATAATAACTAGCGTTTGCATATCACTCTTAAGATTTACAAAGTGCTTTACGTTGTTAACTCAATTGACATGCACAACAACCCTGGGAGAGTGGTACTATTATTATCCCCATTCT